GGACGGGAGAGCTAACTCCTGTTCCACACGAGTGTTAAAGTCCCCTGTTCCTGAGACCTTTGCTGATCCGGGGCAGGGTGAGAGAATGGGAAGCCCTAGCTGGCCTGCAACTGTCCTCAAAGCACTAATAACTGGTCTACCCAGTTAAAACTCCAAACGGGTTTGTTTAGGTCACTTATATTTGGGGTTGGGGAAGCCACCAGAGTTAGTATTTCATTGTCTTTAATGCTAAAAAAAGAAAGAGAAAATGTGATTATATGTAATATCCACATTTTTTTGTCTTTATTTGCAGGAGGGCTGGGGGTAATTCTGCTTAGTTTATACAGTACCTCGCTGAGTGTGTCAAAGGCTGGCCTTAAACTGGCGATCTTCCTGTGCCAGCCTCTGCAGTACTGGGATTACAGGCATGTGCCTAGACACCTGGCTCTGTATTCCCGTCTGACCCTCCATGAACCCAAGTCCGCTTTAGTTCAGAATTATAGAAAAGGGTTTCATGGAGCAGGAGAGGTGGTGGGACACACCCGCATTCCCAGAGCTCAGTCCTCTGGGGCTGCAGAGAGGCCTGCCTCAAGTGAAGCCAGCGTGGGGGAAAGGTGCCCTCTCCGTAGTCCCAGTTCCTCCCTTCGAGTCCACTGGAGATGCCTGAGCCCACTGGCAGCTTCTGTCCCTGCCACTCTCAAGACCATCAAACACCTCCACATCAGCAGACCCAGCGTTCACAGGTCACCGAGGCTAACACGAATACCTCAGCAGCTGGCAACCGCCTGCTGTTTCTTCTCTTCTTCTCCTACCCTTAAACTTCACATAATTCCACCAGCTCTATCTCGAAAGCATGTCCACACTCTCCCCTCCTCACCCCCGCCCTTTCCCATCTCCACTGTCTACATCATCTCCATCCTCACCTTGGGTTGTTCTGGTGGCTCACCATCTCACCCAGAAGAAAATACCATGTCCTTGCCACAGCCAGCAAGTTCTGCATCACCTATATTGTACATGGCTCCCTCTTCAGCATCACTCCTTACTGTCTTCCTCTGACTAGTGAGCTCTGCACCGTCATCCCTGCTGCTCTTCAGTTCCCTCAAGCCTTGCATGTACCTTTCCCTCCACCTGGAAAACATAGACACAGACACAGACACAGACACAGACACAGACACACACACACACACACACACACACACACACACACACAGCCACTGTGCAGTCTTCACTCCCTTGTCATGTCATCCCGGACTCCTTCTTTATCTAATAGAAATAAGAACAGGTATGAAGGTGCCAACACAGACCCTGACTTCTTCTCTCCATAGGACTTAACCATATTTATTTGTTATCACTTGCTACTCAAATGGGGTCTGTAGAATGCAACCATCAATGTAATCTCAGGCCTTGTCCTGGACCAACCAAATCACAACCTGATTTTAATAGAATCTTCAAGTGGTCCATAGCCCCAGTGAAGTTTAGAAAGCACTGAACCACTTTCAAATGACATAAAGACGGGACCTTGTTTGGATTCAGGATATTGAGATACTCAAAACAGAGACCGAATGAGTGGATGGCTGGATGGACAGACAAATGGATGCATGCGTGCGTGAACAGAATGTAGAATCTATGGAATGGGGCTCCAACTTGGTGGTGTGTAAAGGAGCATGGAGAAGGGCAAGAATGACAGCCAGCATAAAATTATCTCCTGCCTGTGAAGTACTAAACTGGAGAACCCCAGATGTCAGCAAACCCTTCTTCAAACAAAGCAGCCACTCACAAATTACTGTGAGCTACTTAGTTGAAATAATATTCTACCATCTACCAGAATCTGCCAAACTGAAGGGAAAGAATGGAAGAAAGCTGAAATCTTCCTAGGCTCCTATTCCATCCTGGGAGTCACAGCAAGCAACAGGGAAGCAAAGCTGAATGGAAAATGAACACATTGGCTAGAGAGGAGGGGTGCATGTGAGCTCCAGAGCAAGGCAGGGTTCTGGGTCCTCCTCTACCCGGTGTCCTGGGGACAAAGAGCCCTTTACTTGTCTTTAACCTATATGCCACAATAACCCTAAGAACCTACAAAGTCCTGCCTCCAACTCTCCCTAAAGTTAACCACAGTCTGGCTTTATTAGCTCTGATCACATAGAATTAGAATTCAAGTCCCTCTTCATGAGAGACTTCTGCAAAATGGTGACACCTTATTCAATCCTGTATCCCCCACCCCAGCCTCCCATCTAGCAAAACAAGCATGCAGGCAATTTCTTCCATCTTTATGAGAACAGAAGGCACTCTGTGAGCAGTTACATGTCCTGCACTGTCGTATCCTATGGCACTTTAGCCCAGAAACCTAATCAGTCAGCCACCCAATAAGATTAGAGCTTTTATTACCCCCATTTCACACTGGGGAGAGAAACAAGGGCCCCAAAGGACAAGGTCACATTGAGCAGGGGTCCATGAGGGGATGAGCACTGCACACAGCAGGTACATTAAATGTTTGCAGATGTAAAGCAAACAGGGAGGCGGTTAGGAAGGTTGGGACATCAGATTTGCACACTACCATTGTTGCTTGGAACCCAGATGGCAGAAGAGAATAAAGGGCATCAGCCTTCAGTAACTTCTTTCTTAAAACAGAGGTGACTGCCTGCGATCCGGGGTTCCATGGGACAGAGTTCAGAGACAGTGTCTTCAAGAGAGCACTAAGCATGACAGCAGATTTCCCTTTATGTGGGAAAGAGGTCTCCGATTAGGGCAAAGAGGCATGGAGTGAGTGGTGGAAATCGGCTCGGAACACACTGCAAACACCATGCAACAAAGATGCTAGGAATCGGCGCAGTATTTTCTAGAAACAAACCTATTTTTGTCCATTTTTTTCCACCAAGGCATAATGCCGGATTTAGCCTTGTTAAAAATCAAGGACCATCAATGATGCAAATGACAGGCTCCAAGGCAGTCAGGACTTCAAGCAGGATGTGACAGGTCGCTGATTGGACTTCTCGGGTTATCCGCATCAGACACACACACTGCAGAGGAGAGCAGAACTGCAGCTGCCCACCAGAGCAAGCTCCAGATGAGATGACTGGTGGAAAGTCAAAGGTGCCCAGCAAGAGTGTCTCCTCCCCGGCCTCCCTTCTGAGAGTGCTTTCCCCCACAAACCCAGTGAGATGCCCAGGCCTCTCCTCGGCTGGAGAAAGCTAAAATCAGAGAAAGTGTGAAAGGAGGGGTTGCCACCAAGAAGCCATAAAACGGGAATCAGTGGTCAAGCCACAGGCCACTGCAGAGCTCAGAGGCAGACAGTGATCCACAGGTGGCCTTGTCCACAGAAAACTGAGCATCAAGGGTGACAGCAGAAAAGGCACCCCCAAAGCATAGAGAATCTGATGAGAAGAGGGAGGATAAAGGGCCTCAGAGAACACTATTTTAATAGCTTTCCCCATCGTCCTCATGACCAGTACACTACCAGAAAAAGGAAGGTGGGGGTCCCAGGCTAAGACCCGGGATGAAGATGAGAAGTCCCCTAGATAAGGTTCTGGCTGACTGAAAGATGAGCCTAGCAAAGTCTCAGCGGTCGGTTAGGAGCCAAGTGCAAAGGTTGAGAGGGAGATCAGAGATTCAAAACTCTGTCAGAGAAAATCGGCTGACATGGGGCTGAACTGGGCGACACAGCAGAGCCAAAGCTTCACATATCACAGATGGCTAAACATTTTTCATTCTCTACAGTCAAAGGAACACCATCCAAAATCGAAACGCTCTCAGATGGTTTACAAAACTATCAAAGGACTGGATGCTTGTTAACCAAAAACTCTGTGATTCTGAGCCGATGGTCACTAAGGGGCTTTCACGTCTCTGTGACTTCTCTCTCAGCACCGTGCTGCATATTTAAAGCCAGGGAACCAGATTCTCCAGAAGGTCCACTACTGAACTTTGGAACCATTAGGATCACAAGAAATCCCTGGACACACAGATCCCTCATGCCAACGACTTTTTAAGTGAATCAAAGGAAAATGGCTTTAAAATGAACATTTATATAGATATAGCCAACCAGAATACGAATTTAAAACTGTTTTAAGCTCCTTCAAAACTGGGAATTTCAATCTGATGTGGGGAAAGGGCACGCACAGGTGGGGGGCACGCACAGGTGGGGGCACGCACATGTGGGGGCACGCACGGGGAAGGGGGGTTCTTCTTGGTCCTTCTAAAAGCTGCATGCAATACTACAGAAACCAATTACCTGAAGTGAGAGGTTGGTGTTTGATAAAATGAGTGTGTCTAGAGTCCAGAATTCCACAACAAACACAAAAGCTTGTCCTGTACGGGTGCCACAGCAATCATCCTTACTTCAAAGGCCAGAGCTGATGGCACTGTCCAAGTTTCGAAGCACTTCGGCAGAATAATTCCGCCCAAATACTTACAACAGATTCTCAAAATTGTCCACGGAATTACAAAATCTGTTTCTGAAGGATCGTTAGAAGTCTGAGAGCCAAGCATGTCTGTTTTTAAACAAGCCTCTTGCAAATAATAGGTTATACACTTGATCAATGTCTGGACCTTTTGCAAGTTGCAATCAATTATCTTCATTACCAAAGGGGGGGCTCTTATAAGCAAACGGAAAATGCTCTTTCGTCACAGAAATTGCTTCAAACTCTCAGGTCATTCCTTGCAAAGACAAAGTGAACACTACTAGCAACAGGAAGCAAAAAACACAGTGAACCACTCCATTCCTAACATATCCCACTACACTGGTCCCTTTTAGGCTGTCCTAACAACGCCACGTCTAATTAAACGAAGAGTGTTTGTGGGACCATCAGGAAGCATTTGCAACTTGTCCAGAAAAGAAAAGAAAAAAGATAAAAACGTGCCTCTTTCTTCTCCGCCCACGATGCCTTTCCCGAGACAGATTTCTGACAGTTCTCCCGCTGTTGCAAGTGCTAAGCGCAGAGAAAAGCCCAGTGGTGCTGCAAAGAGCCCACCACCCTTCACCAACCGGTTAGGGTGCTCTAGACCCTGCCGTGGGCGCAAGTGCTTACCCGAGTCGGCCCAGCAGTGCCCGGGAAGGGCAGCCAGCAGCAAGAGTCCCAGCAGCAGCGGCCGCAGAGGCGGCGCGTCCTGGGACCCGGGGGCCCCGGAGCTCCTCACGCCCTGGAAGAGCGCGGCGATCCCGCCAGCCCTGCAGAGACCACGCTCCCGGGGCCGGTCCCTGGGCTCCCGCGCCGTCGGCCCAGCATCGCTCGGGCCCTGGGGCTTCACCTCCTGCAGAGCCATAGGGACAGTTCACACATCCAGGCCGCTGCCTCGTTCCACACCGCGCCGGGGAGCCCAGCCCTCGGCGCACCGCTCCTCACAGGGCATCTCCGGCCATGGCCCGGAGGGAGGCGGGAGGCGCAGCCGCTCGTTCGTCCTGCCTCGGTCCGGGGCGGACTCGGCGGAGCCGCGGCTTCACGCGCGCGGGGACCGGCGCCGCATGGGGTTCCCACGGTGCGGCGAGGGTGGGACGGGCGGCGCCCGGGTCCCTTCTCCGGGGCTGGATATTGCACCCCGAGCGCGAGGCTGCGAGACGCGGAACCCCGCGGCCCTGCCTTGTGCAACGGGCCACCCGCCGCCGCCCCTACGCCGGGGTCTCTGTCCCTGCTGGTTCGCTCGATCGCTAGGCTCCGGCTCCGGCCGCGAGTGCTACTGCAGCTCAGAACAGCGCCTCATTGACAAAGAAAGCACGTAGCACCGGAGCCGGCGAGGGAGGCGAGGCAGGCGCGCGCGCGCATCCCCGCGCGAAACCACCGCGCGCCCCCACCTTCCGCGCGCGGGGCTCGAACCGTGCCCTGCACTGGCGAGGTCCTCGTTGAAAGAGGCAGGGAATGGCTTCCCTCTGACCGGTGTCCCCAGAAGGAAAGGTCAGCGGAGATAGTCCGCTGACCAAGGAAGGGACTAGACACAGTCAACCTTCTGAGGAAGCTAGGTCTTCAGCCTGCATCTTGGAAAAGCTCTCTGAGGATGAGCATGGGAGCTTTGTGCAGGGTGTTCACTACTTCTCTGAGGGTCTGGCAGACACCTGCATGCCAGATTTAGCCCCGAAGAACTGAAGTTGTTGTGGCCTATTTGCAGTGAAACGCTGGCGTTAATAAAACACATTATAAACATTTGGTACACCCATACAAGAGGAGAGGCAGTGCTCTGGGCTTTGGGACAACTACATGCCTTTCCAAGTGACAAGTCAGTCACTCCTAGTGGGACAAACGGGAGAGTCAGCTCTTACCCTTGCTCTGCCTTTGTGCCCTTGAACGGCTACCTAGTTCACAGGTGCTTCAAGCACCCTCCTTTTTCCTGCATCCATAGCTTGCCAGCTACTGTGTCAGGCACTAGGCATATAAGTAATGATGGAAAAACATTCACTGACCTGGTGAAACTCATCTGTTCATCTGACAGTATTCATTCATCCCAAACTGCCTGTTATATGCCAGGCCCTATTCCAGACACTTGGACAACAGCCACAAGCATAATCCCCATAGGTAATAAATTGACTACCAGACAGTGCTAAAAGGCCTCAGAGAAAATGGTAAGGTAAAAGAATGGAAAGTGGGAACAGGGGTTTGCAGCATTAACCAGGATGAAAAAAGGTTCCCTGTGAAGGTGACATTTGAGAGAAGACCAGAAGAAGGTCAAGGGACAAGCCAAGCTGAAGGAGCATTCTAGATAAAGCGATCCATAAGGGTGAAAACCCCGAGGCTGGCCTGGCCTGGTGTGTTCAAGGCATAGCAAGCTGGAAAGTGCTGAGAGATGGAAGCCAGCCCCCACCCCCATCCTGCACAGCATAGCAAACTGGAATTATTCTGGTGAAGTGTTTACTCTGTCTCACCTGTGTCCGTAGAATTGCAGTAACACAGTGTTTTTGGAGACGATGCATTGTCACGTGCTAACTTTACAGATGCGTCCTGCGAAATCTGTTCAGATTTGTTGAAATGTAGTAGTACAGGCTGAGTATCCCTAATCTTAAAATCTGAAACGCTCAGAAAGTTCCAGGGCTGGTGAGATGGTTCATGGAGCAAAGGCACTGGGCGGTGGTGGTGCACACCTTTAATCCCAGCATGCAGAGGCAGGTTCAAAGCCAGACTGGTCTACAGAGTGAGTTCCAGGACAGCCAGAGCTACACAGAGGAAAGAAAAGGGGAGGGAAAGAGGGAGGGAGGGAGGGAGGGAGGGAGGGAGGGAGGGAGGGAGGGAGGGAGGGAGGGAGGGAGGAAACTTAGTTGCAATTTTCCCAAGTAATAAGACAAGAGTCATTTTGAGGCACAAAGAAGGCCCATTCATGGAGGTTATCCAACCTTACAAAGTCTGAGGAATGGCTAGTGGTAATCCCAGGAAGGAAATGGGACAGGGATGGTGGTGGGTGGTCTAAGCAAGGTCTAACTGACAAATAAGAGATCAAGTGTGCCCAGCAGGGGAGGGAGACAGGGGAACACAGGCTTGGAATAGAGAAGGTTCTTCATCCAACACCTACAACTCATGGAGATACACGACAGAAGGGAAGGATATTCAGGCCTGTTCATGGAAGGTTCTGGATACATCTGGGTCTTTCCTTGAAGAAAGGAGGAGGGGAAGGGAGGAGGGGAATGATCCTCAGGAGCACCAGCCTGGCACATGGCTCTGCATAGGAGCTGCGGACACAAGGTGGGTGTGGTAAAGGAGAACTTGAACCTTTCTGGCCACAGCTGTAGCTAGCTGTGTAGCTAGCTGTGATACAGAAAGTACAGAGTTGTTGGCCCAAGACATAAAAGATGCAAATGGAGAGTACACAAAACAAGAGACACAAGACTTAGCCACAGCCATGTTCCCGGTGACAGTTAAGAGAGGAAACACTGGGGCTACTGCCAGAGGGAGGAAATATTCATATTCTGTTTTGTAAATGGGATTTTCCCTTTGCTATTTCTTGCCAGACTTAGACATTACACAGATTGCTTTTCAGTTTCTGGTTGTTAGGTTGAGTGGCTCTGACCTCCAACAAGGCTGGACTTGAGACCAGACATCATTGAATCCCTCCAGTAAGCAAAGCAGGTACACAGTGAGCACTCTAGAGCAAGGTAAGAGTGTGGCAAAGATAGGTGAGGATTATTCATCCCCATGGGAACAGAGCTATGAGAAGATCACCCATCCCCCATGGAAACACGGACTGTGTCTGCCTTCAATGGGGAAAAAGACACAAGAACATCTAAAGGAGCAGTTCCAGGCACAGCAAAGGGACAACTAAGCAGTCATAAAAGGTTTAGCAGCATGGTGGGGAAGGACAGGAATCTAGTGAGGGAGGGCAGCCCAGTGGGGCCTTAGGGAACGGATACCCTGTTTCAGGGCAGGAGGAGCACAGTGGAGGCAGATGCCAAGAGCCTGAGATGCTAGGCTCCGGACCTTATACCTTAGCCAGTATAAATGGGAGGCTGTTTCCGCAGGACAGAAATCTTGGGGAGGCTTTCTGGAGAGTGGGGAGAATGAGGCAGGGTCTTCCCGCATAGCCCAGGCTGACTCAGAACACACTGTGTAATGTAACCTAGGCTGGCTTCAAACTCATAGCAAGTCTCCTGCCTCAGTTTCCAGGGTACTAAAACTACAGATATGAGTTACCATGGCAGTTTGTTTAAATTTTGGATTGATGAGTCCTTGTTTGGTAAATAGACAAGTCAAACCCCTATGTTGACTTAAATTTAAGATCTGCCTCTACTAGCTAATGACTGAGAAAATCGTGTCTCTGTAAACCTCATCTATAAAACTGGAATAATCCAAGCAATTCCCACATGGGGTTGTTTTAAGGATTGAGTTGATACATGTCAATCATTTAGACATACACTTGACATATGGTAAGTGCTCAATCAATCTTATTATATATTATATGATAATTGCAACCCTCTTAACCCATAAACCCTTGTATTCATTTTCAGTATTCTTAACTGGGGCTTTGGGACTTCCTTGTGTGTTGAGCTCATTGTTTAAAGAGTCAAAACAATAAGTAACTGTCCGGTGTTCCTGCTCTAAGGAGACAGACCCTGATCCCCAATGCTTTTCGACTCCCAAAGGGGCTTTCCGACCCCTATCCTTTTCCTTTTAACCGATCAAGTCAGCACCTGTAATCATGTCCAAAAGGTGAAGATGAACATATAGAAGCTTTTCACGGTGTGGGCAGAAGACTCCACCTCCGAGCGGTGATTTCAGGCTCTGGGCTGAACTTTCTGTCATTATTCTGGGGCACACATCTAGACATCTTTCTGCAACAAGCAGCTGTTGTTCCGCAAGTCATCATTTCACACCTGTACGCCTTCCATTTCTATTCACAAACCTCTTTCCCATAGCCAGGCGAGTTCTAAATTCCAGTGTCTGCAGCTGTTGTTCCGCAAGTCATCATTTCACACCTGTACGCCTTCCATTTCTATTCACAAACCTCTTTCCCATAGCCAGGCGAGTTCTAAATTCCAGTGTCTGCAGCTGTTGTTCCGCAAGTCATCATTTCACACCTGTATGCCTTCCATTTCTATTCACAAACCTCTTTCCCATAGCCAGGCGAGTTCTAAATTCCAGTGTCTGCAGAGAGCTAAGCCTTGTCTCCACCCTCTCTGAGCTCAACCCTGAAGATCCAGTGGGGCAGATGAGTAACCACACACCAGTGCCCCTGCTCAGAGCAGGGGGAGGATGCTGGAGGAATCCTGAAAAGCAGAGAGTCAGAAGAGGCTGGAGGGATGAGTGAGGGATTTACCCTGCAGTGGGGAACCAAAGCCTATCCTTTTAAGCCATGGTGACTTTTAGAACCGTAGGATATGTTTCAAATGACTCCCAGAGCCCTCGTTTTTTAAGAAATGAAAGGGAGTCTGGAGAGATGCATCAGCGGTTAAGAGCACTTCCTGCTCTTGCAGAGGACCTGAGTTTGGTTCCTAGAACCCGCACTAGCAGCTAACAACTATCTGTAACTCCAGTTCCAATGGATCTATCTGATGCTGCCTTCTGGCTTCAGAGGAACCCAAGCACACACAATGTACCGACACATACATGCAGGAAAACATCCATATACATAAAATAGAAGCGAGATATAAAATACTTAAAATAGAAAGGATTTTTCTTCTTCTTCTTCTTCTTCTTTGTCTTCTTCTCCTTCTTCTTCTTCTTCTTTGTCTCCTCCTCCTCCTCCTCCTCCTCCTCCTCCTCCTTCTTTTAATATGGCAGTTTCTACAGAGGCCATGAGACTCAAGACCAGACATCACAAGACTGCATGGTCTATATTGCCCATTTCCTCCAATAATAGAAGGAATTTAAAATACAATGTATATGTGACTTCTCTTGCTTCTAATGCCCCTGAGAAAAAAATAGCAATAACTGGGAAGGTGCATTTCAGGGCCCTTCCTACATCTCACTGGTCTGGCCCTGAGAAAAGTACTTAATATAGCTATATGGGTACCTTGTAGAAAGAACTGCCTGGGAGGGCCAAAAGATAGTCAAATTAGCAGTGCCAGAGGACAGTGGGAGTTTGGGAGTGTTCCCATCAAAGAATTATGGAAGACCACACCCCACCCCACCCACCGCATAGAATGGACTGAGGGTGAGGCCCGAGGAGAGTACTGCAGAAATGTAGGCCATCTAGTTTTCCCTTTCCTTTGATACCTCCCAGGTTTCAGCCTCAAGGCCTGAGATGGCAGGCAGGTCCAGCAAGACCCTGGTAACGCCCACCAGGAGCAGCTGCCAGCTAAGGGTGGGTGA